TGAGAGCTTAATGCAGATTCAGAAAATATTGTCACATGCAGATGTTTGGCAAGTCAAACAAACCCAAATCTTAAGAATACAATTTCAGTGTAAAACCCAACCTGCATCCTTGTGTACCTCAAATTGTGTGGTTTATTTAAAAATGGTGTGAAATTTCAATCAGTTTTCATTTAGAAATTGCTAGTAAATCTCTCAAATAATTGCAGAGAAATGTCAAGTAACACATTGAATTAAAATCTAAATTTTGAAGTAAAAGGACTGAAATAGCTTTTTCTTGTCAAATGTACTCCAATGCTCCAATTTAAAAAATAAAAAAAGTTGTTAGTGTACTGATGATCTAAAGGGTTTCCCATTTAGAAATCTTATATTTTATGTTTTTCTATAGGTTTCTCTTGGTGCACCTAATCAAAATTATAGATTTTTGCCATATTTTATATTGTCTCAGGTCGTCCACAATATTGGATGTATGTTTTGCATTGGGAGATGCGAAAATCTACAGTACTTACCATTGGAAAAAGTGTAACGCTAACTTGGATCATGTGAAGCACATCAGCCAATACTGACATCAGTGGCAAGCGTTCACATTTTTACGACAGCAAAGACTGTAGTAAAACTATCAGCTGAATGTTTGAAACAACTTCCTTTTGTGATCTGATGTGGCTTCTTATCACAGAATGAGGCAGAAAATATATTATATACTGTAAAAAAAATAAAAAATAAAAAATAATATATATATATATACATATATATATAGCTGTTAGCAGCAATACAGGGCCCCGAAGGTGTAGCAAGCATTGCAACCACTGCTACTGTAAGTACAGCAAGCATAACAACCACAGCAAACTCATCAAAGCACATCACACTTAAGTCAAAAGATTTGCAATGTGCATCAGAAATACTTTTCATATAAAAGCACTGCATGTTATGTGTAATACATGATTCAAAAAAACGATTCCTTAACATGTTGACCAGATTAGCATGCTATGCTTACTAAATGCTATATAGCTTATGGTTAAACTGATATCTGAAAAGCAACATTAGAAAGAATGGCAACCAATTAGCATGGTAACCAATTTGCATGCTTAGCTAACTAGCATAATTCAACAAATGCAGACACAGTCGAATTTGATGCGGTATTTCTTGGGAACGGAAGCAATTATAAAACATTCCTTCAGTTATTTCTGTGCGGCTCGGTCCAAAGATCATCTGATCGCAATTTGGACAAAATTGGACACGTTTTGTAGGAGGAGTAGAGAAAAAACTGTTCTTCATTTACTTCAAAATGGCAGACAAACAAAATGATTTTGAAAAATTAGATATCATCAGAATTGACAAACCATATTGACAAAGATAATACAATTTGGACAATGCTTTCAAACGTTATAAGCGTTTTTGCAAAACTTCTTATATCTCTGGAACACCTAAGTGACAATGTGTCAGGTACCGCCGGAACATGCTGTAGATGGTGGCTACCAATTTTTGTGCCAATATGTCAAATTGTTCAAAAGATATTGCGATTTATGACACATTTCAAAATGGTGGATGAGCAGATGCTGGCAAAATTGGTATCGCCCAATTCAACATGACCCAAGGAATCCATAGAAATCAAGGTCATCATTTGAACTGTTCAAAAGTTATAAGCAAAAAAGATATATATTTTTGGTATCTCATGACCCATAGGTGGTACTGTTGCCAACTATGGCATGTACCCTAAGATCATGGTGCTGATGAAGCATTCCAAGTTTTGTTTCGATTGGTCAACATTTGGCCGAGATACAGTCTTTGAAACAATTTTGGGTCAACATTGTTAACTTTTAAACAAATAAATAAGTTTGATATCATGTATGTGTCACGATCAAGGTGTGTGGAGGCAGGTAGGATGACGAGGACGACAAGGTTCCCAATAAAGAAATTTAATGTAGACGCACGCACGCACGCACGCACGCACGCACGCACTCGGGGTAACATTCACAATAACCAACCAACTGGAACACAATGGACAGGAACTGATATAGGGTGGATAATTAGTGGCAGACAGGTGAGCACAATGAGGGTATTTAACTAATGATCATACGGGCTAAACCAACAAAAGGGGAAGAAACCACAATAAACAGGCCACATCATATTTGCGTCATATTTGATACATCAGGCTTTTATGGCTCATGTAGTATGATGTAGTGAAAATATGGACCTCGGTGAGTACTTTCTTATTTTGTCGAGTCAAAATAAGTCTCTGGGTTAAATATGCAATTGTATATTCCTAGATAGCTACATTATTACCTGAAGTTCCTTGATGGCAAATGTCAAAATCGTGATTGCACAACATGCAAAATGCAAGATTTAATGTTAAATATTTTCCAAAGGTTAGCAGGTCTGCTCTCAGTCATAAAAATATTTGTGCTATTCCTGTTATACAGTATTTTAGAGTAAACACTAGGGATGCAACAATACAGTTAGCCCATGGTTCAATACATAACTATCATATGTCTACTTCAAATTTCTTTTGAGAGAAGTGTTATTTTTATGGATTGGCCATTATTGTGTTCTATAAACACAAACTAATGTCTGTTTTATTCATACTGGAAGCCAGAGTGTGCATTCGTGCAGAAACTCCACATATGCATCACAGAATTAATATAGCCTAACTCATGATGCTCCAGGAAATCTCAAATGGATATGTTTTCAAGCTATCGCTGTAGCTGAATTAAAAGATAGAAACATTTCAAACGATGAAACATGAAAACAATAAACACTCAACTGCGACAATGTATAGTTTATCTGTGTTCTTCAAGCCATCTGGGGTATTTTCATAATAATTAAGTATATTTGTATTCCATTGCTAATCGGCATAGCCTTTTTTACAGTATAGAATATATTTTCTGCCTCATTCTGTGATA